TATTTTACATTTACAATTTTTTTTCCTGGGGACCCTGTGACACCCCATTGAAGAGCCGTAGGCTGGATCTCTTAAGATCTCACTGTTGGGTTTGTAAGGCCATGTTACTCCTAGATTTCTACCTTGTTCAAAGAGAAGATATAAACAAAGTTCTAAGCTAATCGACCTTAGTGTTCTCCTTTTTTAAAAATAAGAATCGATAAGAGAATCAATAAAGAATCGAATTGTTAAACAGAATCGAAAATGGAATCGGAATCGTGAAAATCTTATCAATACCCATCCCTATTCATACCAGATGTATTGAAATGATCAGTGTTGTGGTCACTAGTCAAAAAATGTAATGCATTACACATTACTTTTCTCATACATATTACATTAACTTCATTTAATTATTCACTAGAGAATGTAATTTATTATACTACTCATTACATTACTTTCACATAAAATGATCTGAAAAGTATCGCTTCATAATTATGAGTTAACAATATAAGGCTACAGTCTTGACACCATAAAGAAAATAAGCATGCATGTTTCTTTTTTTCTATCTGCTCTTCGTGTAATCGTTAAATGAAGAAGAACCTTTGTAAAGCAGGTAATGAAACAACTGTAATGCAATTACTCAGTTTAGTACAGAAACAGACATTATTGCCTTAGCCGCCTGAAAAACGTATCTGGATGAAAGTTGGGTGTTACTTTGGAACACACACACAAACAGAATTGACATAATATCTTTGGTCCTGTTCCGTAATCTAAACCTATTTCTACTCTAAAAATCTTTAAACCAAGACAGAGACAGGACACAATTTTCTTACTTCCTGTATCTGTCATTGCTGCGTGTGTTTTAGCATGGCTTTGGGGTGATTCATGGTGAACCTTTAACATCCAGCATCATATGAAACCCAGAAGAGAATAAGAATGATAAAAAATATAAAAATATCAATTTTCTTTACGTTAATAAAGTATGTTTACAGTTAAGTGATTTTTTTTGTTTTCAATTTGTAAATATTTCTGAATATATTGTATTTTACAGCGTGTACACAACCTGCTCATAAAATATTCAGACCTCTACACTTTATGCAAACATCGTGTTGGAGATACTTTTTACATGAATCTCGATAGAAAACATAGATTTTACATTTTAAACATCAAAAATGTAAAACTAGAACACAATAACATGAAGAAAAAGATAAAAGGCTATTTGTAACCTATTACAAATATAATTATTTGGATTTCGGATGAACATACTGCGAATACACACCCAGCTCACCTTTAGAAGCATTTGAACGTAGAACCGAGAGAGACAGCCAAATCCACCAAAGTGACAAAGATATTAAACCAGCCATTTGCGTTCTGAGTTGAGTTTTGTTGATTTCACACAAGGCTGGAGCAAAATAGCTTCAGCCGAAAAACCTGATCAGACTTCGTTTCGCCTTCAGTATGGGTGTCTCTGCCTTTTTAAAACCTATGACCACACGGTTAAACCCACAACCAGTGATGCTTCTTCCTGTCGAAACCGCCCGACTCCATAAACTGAAGAGTGAAAGGGCGGGAGTTAATGTTGTGTTTCATGAGGTGTAGTCAGACCGTCACTTATGAAGTGTGCAATATAGATTAGATTAACGCATTATCTACAATGTAAATAGTCATGAAAACAAAGAAAAACCATTCAGTGAGAAGATGTGTCTAAACTTTGGCTGGTATATGCTGTCTTTTATTGTCACTGAAGACAATTTTTAAAAAAGTACTTTTCCACTTTCCACTTTTTGTCCAACACTGGAATTTGGACTTTAGCAGCAAAAGATGAAATGTGGGAAATCAACAGGATAAAAAGGAAAGATAAGGCAGTGCCCTCTCGATTCTATAGTAACATCTCAGCAGAGATAATACACGGTTTAATCCCCTACACCAGGGGTCGGCAAACTGCGGCTCAGCATCTCTATAGAAAATAGATACTAAGTATTTAAATGAAGTGGGTTTTATTTGTGTTAGTTCTTTTTAAAACTTGTAATTCTAAATTGGAGGATTATTGTGATTTTGAAATATTAAAATAAACGTATATTTTATTGTTTTTCGTCGCTCAAAATAAGCGTCACATTCGTGGAAGCCGGTATACCTGCCAAAACGCCGTGCATTTATCCAGACTTTCAGCCCCAGGTAGGCCAATTATGGAGAAATGTAAGAAAAGAAAAATATCTTAAGAAAATAGAACATTTAATGATACCTGGGCAGATTCATTTGCATTTACTTCTGACGAAAGAGGCCTACCAGTACGGCTAATTTGTGGATTGTCGATCTTCGGATCCACACATATATGAGCACCTATTCTCCACCATGAACTATGTTAAAAACAAACACCGCTAACGCCTCAGATGGCAGCTTGCATAAAGATGAAAGTGACTTTGTACAGCACGGATTAGCAGACGCTGTTGTGGTATATTGTAATAAGCAGCAGCTATTACTACCTCCCACCAGTAGGTGGTACTGTGGTATTGTGTGTGATTGAAAGCGAGCTGAGTAAAGAGACCTGACCTCCACTATAGCCTTGTCTCAGTCCTCTGTGCTTGATCTAAAGTTGACTTTGACCGCAACCCACGTTAAACCAGCAGTTGGTGCAACGCAGCATAAAGTTACAACAGCTATGAGGTTCAGGAGCCGAAGTCCCATAAACGTACCACGGCAGACCTGACGATGTTTGAATGAACATGCTTTTCAATATCTCTTCATTGACCACTTTTCACACACATTACAGTGTTGCCAACTTAGCGAATTTGTCGCTATATTTAGCGAGTTTTCAGACCTCCTTAGCGAATTTTTTTCTAAAAAGCGACTAGCGACAAATCTGCCGACTTTTTCTGGTGTTATTGGAGACTTATTTATGACGACTTTTTGACGTGAAAGCGCGTATCGCCCTTCTCAAGCAGCGTTGCTGAAGTGGGCACCTCGCCCGTGCCAAAGCGCTCACGGACGGAGGATAGTCATCCCCCAGCTGCTATCAGTGCAGGAGACGTTAAAACCTGGGGGGCTCTTCAACTGGTGGGGGAGATTGTCACACTTTTCATCCTTCTCCAACGCACCCGTAGCAGTCATATACAGTCGAATCTTTGTTCCCACTGCGCCAGGTCTCAGATAAATTGCCGTGAGCAGTAGCGGGATGGTGGCTGAATTGCTCCATGCCGTTAGCAAGTCTACCGTTAGCTAATCTACGGCTAGCTTACTCACGTCGCGGTCCCCGTTCACACGGTCTGCCACTTCTGACACCATGTTGTAACTTTATGCAGGTTGCTCCAACTGCTGGTAACGTGGGTTGGGTCAAATAACTTTAGACAAGCACAGAGGACTGAGACGAGGCTATGGTGGAGGTCCGGGTCTTTTACTCAGCTCCTTCAGAACACATACAATACACAGTACCACCTACTGGTGGGAGGTAGTAATAGCTGCTGCTTATTACAATATACCACAAACATATTTTCAGACGAGAATGTAGCTGTGTAAACCTCAAATATCTGCTCAGTTTATCAAGACACCGCATATTTTCAAAAGCGCTCCGACGTTTTTAGAGACGTCTGTTACCCACTAGCTCGATAGCTAGCCGGGAGCAAGGCTCACCGGCAAATCGTTTTCAAACCCACTGTCGTCTTTCACTACTCAGGTTAAATATATATAAGTCACTTAGATAACTTCAAAATGTTATTGTTTGGCTTTTTTTAGTATTTTATTTGTTCCTGAGTAAATCGGTTTGGCTGAGATTAAAGTTATAGTTTTTACACAGCTGAATAAACACTGATTATCAGAAGTGTGAGATGCTCGAGAATATACTCCGGTGTCCTGTTATATTTTAGATAGCAAGGAGTTTATTAAACTTCACCGAAACAATCTGCAAATTTCATTAAAATTTAATAAACTATCATCTTGTCTTTATTTTTAGTTAGCACAGACCTTAAACACTTAAAGCTGTAAGCTAATGATAGTTATATAAGAGCAGATGCTGCTGGTGCAATAAGCTGTACGTTTTACGTCCAATGGATGCATGATCTGATTAGTCGACTAATCGCAAAAATAATCGGTGACTAGTCGACTATCAAAATAATCGTTTGTGGCAGCCCTAGTTGGCATCCTATCTGAGAGTCTCTCT